GATTTGTAGTAGTAAACTGGGCTGTCGTCGTCGTCTTCTACCTCATCCGACGAAGCCAAAGCCATCGCCACCTTGAGGAATCCAAACACAGATAGTAAAATCTTCATTTTTCTGTAATATGCAAGGAAGATGTGGGGATTGAGGCCTGGTACTGATGTCATTTACATCATGTGGTACGCAGACGACATACACACACACACACTCACACGCATATGCACACGCACGCTCGCACACTTACACACACACGCACATGCACACTTACACACACACACATGCAGCACGCGCCGCGCGCGCGCACACACACACACACACACACACACACACACACACACACACACACACACACACACACACACACACACACACACACACACACACACACACACACACACACACATATCAATTTAGATATAAGGGTGCATTTTCTTAACCTTTTGCAGCCTTTGCTGCACAAAACACTTGATTTCAAAGAATCTTGATCAACAACAGCCTAAAAATCCTACAAAGATATTAAAAAAAGATTCACCAATATAGTTTGTCTTCCCTACTGCATGTACTTATACCAATAAAACTCACATACAGACTAGTACATACCAGATACCACAGGGATATCACACTCACGCATTAACGAAAGGATACAGTTTTCTGATGAACTCCGCTCAAGGGTCTTCCAGATTCCGGCTGGAGTTTCCTCTTTTAAGCTCTAGGCCTACATACTTTTTGTGCTTTATTCAGAATTGATCAGCTTAATTCAGTCTTTAGTGGACACTCTCTTTATCAAAGATCGATGCATTTTCTCATACTGTTCGGTCTCGTTTCCTCTATGACGTATTTCGAGGGAATGGTTATTTATTTTCTTGACCCGAATGGCTTATGACAAAGTTTAAAGCCACGAACTTATCTAAATTTATCGTTCACTGGATGGTCTGGAGAGAGTAGGTCTAGTGGAACCGTGATGCTTGGTAACACATGGACTTTGACTCCGCACAAAGCATTTCTTTGTATATGTAAACAAAGGGACGCCATGTTCTGCGGTAAGTAGTATTCACCCCTGAATTCCAAGCCGCTGCAGATTATCAACTTTCGACTATTGGCGGGCTCTTTTCCCGGCATTTGTTTGTGTTTTGATGTATATGTCTATTTATCTATCCGAGGGTAAAAAGCTTGTATGCTCGATACTGTTTGGCAACTTTCGCTGAGTTTCATGGCCATGAATATATGAACGATTATGGATATAAGTTTTCATAACTTGACTTGTATTTTATCTGCATGTCTTTGTGTGTTGCTGTATCACTCCATATCTTGGTTAATTTTTCCTAATCCGATGGTCTGTAACTATAGATATAGATAATGTTTATGGTGTAGAATTGAGTTTTTCACACAATAAAATGTAAATTTTCCCCTTGTGAAAGTTGAATATATATATATTTTTATCTAGGAGCAAGGATAAATTGACGAAATCATTGCTGCCAAATGCCTGTGCGCTCACCTGTTTTTTAAATTGTTTTTTGGGGAACTGGGAAAGATACATATCTTTAAATTTTTTGTTGCATACAGGTTGAATAGCGGTTCTCTTTCTCTTCCTCTGTCTCTCTTGATATTTGCCTCTGCTTCTATTAGTCAGACCAACTGCCTGTTGTCTGTCTCTCACTCACTCTCTCCCTCCTCCCTCCTCCTCTCTCTCTTCTCTCTCTCTCTCTCTCTCTCTCTCTCTCTCTCTCTCTTCTCTCTCTCTCTCTCTCTCTCTCTCTCTCTCTCTCTCTCTCTCCTCTCTCTCTCTCTCTCTCTCTCTCTCTCTCTCTCTCTCTCTCTCTCTCTCTCTCTCTCTCTCTCTCTCTCTCTCTCTCTCTCTCTCTCTCTCTCTCTCTCTCTCTCTCTCTCTCTCTCTCTCTCTCTCTCTCTCTCTCTCTCTCTCTCTCTCTCTCTCTCTCTCTCTCTCTCTCTCTCTCTCTCTCTCTCTCTCTCTCTCTCTCTCTCTCTCTCTCTCTCTCTCTCTCTCTCTCTCTCACTCTCTCTCTTTCTCTCTCCCTCTCTCTCTATCAGTCTATCTGTCTATCTTTCTAAGTATATATATATATGTGTGTATTGATGTAGCTATGCAAATATATGTATAAAAAATATATATATATACATATACACACACACACACATATATACTAGCCACTCTGCAATTATGATGCCAGACCGCCCCTGTAGATAATATGTGTGTGTGTGAGAGAATATATACATAATATATATATATATATATATATATATATACATATATATATATATACATATGTATATATATATATATATATATATATATATATATATATATATATGTCTATCTAACCTGTTTATGATATAAAGGTATATATACTTACATGCATACATATACTTATGTATACACACACACACACACACACACACACACACACACACACACACACACACACACACACACACACACACACACACACACACATACACACATATATATATATATATTATATATATA